GCAGGGGAGGGCAGTTGGGGGTGACCAGGCCTACAGGGGAGGGCAGTTGGGGGCGACCAGGCCAGCAGGGAAGGGCAGTTAGGGGCAACCAGATTGGCAAGGGAGAGCAGTTAGGGGTGACCGGGCCAGCAGGGGAGGGCAGTTCGGGGTGACCATGCCTGCAGGGGAGGGCAGTTAGGGGCAATCGAGTCGGCAGGGGAGGGCTGTTGGGGGCAAGCGGGCCTGCAGGGGAGCAGTTAGACGTCGATCAGGCTGGCAGGGGAGTGGTTAAGGGTGATCAGGCTGGCAGGCAGAAGCGGTTAGGGGCAATCAGGCAGGCAGGCGAGTGGTTGGGAGCCACCAGTCCCGAATTGGAGAGGGTGCAGGCTGGGCTGAGGGACACATCCCCCCGTGCATGTATTTTGTGCACCAGGCCTCTAGTAAAGATATAAACGTTTAAACAATCTCTTGTTCTATTCAGGGTTTGTTGGTTTTTATTCTAGCTTAGCCTAGACCAGTGATGGTGAACCTATGACACACGTGTCAGAGGTGACATGCGAACTCATTTTTTTGGTTGATTTTTCGTTAAATGGCATTTAAATATATAAAATAAATATCAAAAATATAAATCTTTGTTTTACTATGGTTGCAAATATCAAAAAATTTCTATATGTGACACGGCACCAGAGTTAAGTTAGGGTTTTCAAAATGCTGACATGCCGAGCTCAAAATGTTCGCCATCACTGGCCTAGACACAGGGTCATTTAAGCCCGGATTTTGAGAAATGCATAGAGAAAGACTCATGAAACAATATTCATTTCATCATTTCATACATCACAACCAAAGCATGAGAAATCTCAAGGTCGTAGATTTTGGCATGCATTAAATCCAGCCCTAGAGTTCAAGGAGTCAAAAGCACCCAATGGGACCTTTCAGGGGTATTTGCCCAATTGTACCTTGATGGGCACATGGATGACAAATTTCATCCATGGCCATTTGTGCATAGGACAGCTTCCACCCTGCCACATGTCTCACCTGTGGAGGGACTGGAACAGCTGGAGTGGCCACAGGTTCTACCACATTGCTCATTCTGGCAGGAGGAGGACAGCTGTTTGCTGCATAGTAATTTCTGAGTTTCTTACCATGATTTTTACCCTAGAAGTAAAATGAAATGGGTAATCACCATGGTGAAAATTTGTCAAATGGAATTAATATATTCACTTAAAAAAACAGAAAAAAGAAAAAAACCTACAAACAATACTAACTACATTTTATTCTTTCAGATATGCCACACTAGGGTAAATAGACCACTACTAGATTTGATTACTTGATCTTAAAGTAAATGTCTATTCTTTGGTTCTAACAGGATTACATTTATCTGGGAATGATAAGGGAACAAAGCCAAAAGAAATTAATTTCCTATATATTTTAGAAAAATATTACATTTTACAGCGATCTGTGTCCTTCCCAAATGTGTTGCCTTTCCTACGCCACCGCCCGAATATAAATTTCATAATACTCTGATCTAATCTACTTTATAAGTCTGTGACAAAATGGATAATCCAATTATTTTTACAGACATAGCTCTTACAGAGTAGCTTTTTTACTTTGTGCATTAGATCATTTGCTGCTCACAAAAATCCTGTGAGAGGAACTTGTTAATATTATCCACATAGGACAGCTGAAGAGCCATGATCCATAGTGTGGGGACCTGCCACCAACACCCAACATTCAATAGGGCCACGCAGTGCAGCAGAGCTCGAGGCAGGCCTTCCGAGTCCAAAGCAAGGCCCTGGTTCACCACAGCATGATGGCTGCAGATGCACTGTGAACCTCTATTAAAATGGATTTGCTTCTCTCATTGTGTTTCCTTTAAGTTATTATTCACATGATTATTCACATGACTATACTCCTTGGAACTGCTGCAAATTGGTGGGAAGGGTCAGTGATCTAAAAGCATCCTAAATGAGGAGGGGAAAGTATATTATTCTTTAAACTACTTTGTAAAAATCAAACTTGTAGGCATTTATTTACCATCTATTATATGCTAAGCCTTAAAGGAATTAGAGTTAGCACACACTCTAGAGGAGATGGCAGATACATAGTGATGCACTAAGTTCTACCTTCTGACCACTCACCATGGTTGCAGTGACCTCCATGGGGTCAAAAACCCAGTGGTCATACCTGTGCCTTCATCATATTCTAACTCTAAGCAGCATGATACAATTGACGCTCTCTCCTTCTATTGTCTTCTATGGTTCCCTCTCACACCCCTACCTCTCATTCTCTAAATGCTATGGTGTCCAAAGCCCTACCCTCAGTTCTCTTCTCTATCTACACTCAAACTCTCAGTTACTTTACCCAGTCTCATAGCTTTAAAATATAATGACTAAGTTGCTGACTCCCAAAACTATCTATCTCCATCCCTGTTATAAACTCAATGTCTGTGTTCCACCAAACATATACAGTATTGAAATCTAATCTCAATGTGATTGTATTAGGAGGTGATTGGGTCTTCAGGGTGGAGCCTAATTAGTGCCCCTTTATTAAGTACACCTCGCCCTCCACCTCCCATGTGAGAATATCAGCCGGCCATCTGCAATCTGAAAGAGGGTCCTCACCAGAACCCAACTGTGCTGCACCCTGATCTCAGACTTCCAGCCTCCACAACTTTGAGAAATAAACATTCACTGTTTAAGCCACCCGTTCTCTGGTAATTTGTTATAGCAGCCCCAACAAACTAAGGCAATCCTTGACCTTCAGAGCCACCTATCCAAATGACTTCCTGCCATTGACATTTTGCAGTCTTAAGAGGCATGTCCAACTTAAAATATCTAAAAAATAACTTCTGGTTCCTCCCTCACAGAACTCTCTCATCGCTGCCACCACCACTAAGTCATCCACATGTCAGTATATGGCACTCAAGAAAGACCAGGGATCCTTTTGATTCCCTCCCTCCTTAAAACCAACCCGTCTAATCCACCAGCCAGTCCTATCTGCCTGCCTTCAAAATATATCCTAAGTCATGCTACTTCTTTCCATGGACACTACAAACACCACAGTAATCCAAGCTAGCAACATTTTCTACCTGCAGCAAGAACTCCTTCCCGGTTTCTGCTCTCACTCTGTCCTCCTAATTCTCCTCATACCAGCTAGAGTGGTAATTCCAGACATAAATGAGATCATGCCACTCTCTCATGTAGAATCTTCCAATGGTTTCCCACTACACTTAAAATCGACACATCTTACCCATAAGGGCCCACATGATCAGACCCTGCCCGCTTCTCAGATTTTATTTCATACAGCACCCCTTCCCCCAGCTCATTATACTCCGGCCTCACTGGCCTTCCTTCTCTTCCCTAAACATACCAAATTCATTCTAGCTCCAGAGCCTTTGTACTTGCTGTTCCTTCTGCCTAGAATGATCTTCTCTCAGCAGCATGGGTGGCTCCTTCTCATCTCTCAGGTCTCAAATCAAGCAGCAACTCACTCAATCTGAAGTTAATGCCCATCCCCACCTACTCCCCCCACCCCCATACACACTCTCTTTCCATCACATTACCACATTATGTGTCTAAAATAATATTATTTACTTGTTTTCTCTCTTTTCTACTCTCTGGAATGTAGACTCTATGGAAAATAAGAACGCTGTCTGTCTCATTTACTGTTCTAGCCCAATGTCCAGAACAGTTTCTAGCATACAGTAGGCAACAAGTAAATATTTGCTGGATCAATGAGTCAAGAAGTATAATGGAGATAACAAAGAAGGAAGAACACAGAGAAGGAATTTCTTACTTCCTCCTGAAGGTGTCAGGTATGACCTCCTTGAAAAAGCAACATGTAAGGTCATCTTTTAAAAGGAACAAAAGTTTACCAGGCAGCTAAGGAGTGAGGAGGAAGAAAACTGCGAACAAAGGAAATGGTCTGAGCAAAGGCCCCTCCTGCTGGATAGATGGTCTTCAAGATCCTTTAGAGAAAAGGTAGGAGGCTGAGATACAAGGAATGGAGGTGAGGGGCGGGGGCGGGGAGGCTAATCCTTAGTGGTTCTGGCCATGACACAGAACTTGGACTTTAGAGGCAGCAGGGGACCACTGAAGAACTTTAAGCGAAGTCGTGACATGACTGGATTGCATTTGATAAAGATTATCCTGGGATCCCCATGGGGATAAATTAGAGTGAATCGAAGCCAGAAGCTGGGAATATAGAGAAGAGAGCCAAAGACAAATCCCCAGGACACTAAAATATAGAATGCAGTAGAGAATGAGGATCCAGAAAATGAGAGGAGACTGCTTGGCCTATGAAGTAAGATGAAAATCAAACAAGTGTGGTATTGTGCAAGCCTAGAACAAGTTGATTCAAAAGAAGAGTGTAGTTAAATACATTATAACCCAAGAACTCTACTTCCAGGTATTATCAAACGGAAACCACATCTAAGGAGATTTTTATAACAATGTTCCTAGAAGGACTGTTTGTAACAACTGAACAGTGAAAACAAACTAAGTGTCTGTCTGCAACATAATGGGTGAATTGTAGTCTATTCAGACAATGGAATACTTGAGTGATTGGCAACTTGAATGATTCTCCTAACAAAATGTTGAATAAAAAGAGTAAGTTGCAGAAAAAGATACTTAAGAATAATCTTTTTAATATGGAGGTTAAAAACATTTTTTTAAAAAACCCACTACATATTATATAGGAAAACACATGTAGCGAAAGTACAAAACAAGTGTGGGAACAAGAAATACCAATCAGTATAGTGACTACATCTGGGAGCACGGGAAGGAATTGGGGGGTGAGGGGGAGAGAAAGGTGCTCTTCAAATGATTTGATGCTTTTCATTCTTTTAATTAGAAGGCAAATACACATGTACATTATATAAACAAGAGTGGTTCACTAGGTCAAATGCTACTGTCGGATCAAAACACAGAGGTTAATGAGTTAATGCTTGGATTTGAAAAGACAGAGATCAAGAGTAAACTTGGTAAGAACCATTTCAGTAGCGCAGTGAGGGATGAAAGGTGTGTGAGTAGCTTAAGGAGACGATGGGAGGTGTGAAAGTGAAGATAACCAGTACAGGCAACTTTTTAGAAGAACTCTACTATGATGTGGAACAGAGAAATAGAGTATAGAGTTAGCGGGAGAAACAGATCAGTGAAAGATTTTTTTAAAGATAAGTTGTCTTTTCATTTTTTTGCATATATCTGTCCAATTTTCCCAACACCACTTATTGAAGAGACTGTCTTGACTCCATTGTATGCTCTTGCCTCCTTTGTCAAATATTACTTGAGCATAGTGGTTTGGGCCGATTTCTGAGTTCTCTATTCTATTCCATTGGTCTATATGTCTGTTCTTGTGCCAGTACCAGGGAGTTTTGAGAACAGTGGCTTTGTAATACAGCTTGATATCTGGTACTGAGATCCCTCCTACTTTGTTCTTTTTTCTCAGGATCGCTGCAGCTATTCAGGGTCTTTTTTTATTCCAGATGAATTTTTGGAGAGTTTGTTCTAGGTCTGTGAATATGCCATTGGTATTTTAATGGGAAGTGCATTGAATCTATAGATTGCTTGGGGTAGTATGGACATTTTAATCATGTTGATTTTACCAATCCATGAAAACGGTATGTTCTTCCATCTGTTTATGTCTTTCTCTATCTGTTTTTTCAGTGTCCTATAGTTTTCTGAGGACAGGCCTTTTACCTCCTTAGTTAAGTTTATCTTAATTTTTGTTTTGTGCAGTGGTAAAAGGGATTGTTTTTGTAAATTCTCTTTCTGTAAATTCACTATTGGTGTATAAAAATGCCAAAGATTTCTTGGCATTAATTTTGTATCCTACTACATTGCTGAATTCATTTATTAAGTCTAATAATTTTTGGTGGAGTCTTTAGGGTTTTCTATGTATAGAATCATGTCATCTGTGAATAAGGACAGTTTTACAACTTCTTTTCCAATTTGGATGCCTTTTATTTCTTCTTCTTGTCTAATTGCTATGGCTAGCACTTCCAGTACTATGGTGACAGGAGTGGTGACAGTGGGCATTCCTGTCTCATTCCTGTTCTTAGGTGAAATGGTTTTAGTTTTTGCCCATTGAGCATGATGTTGGTTGTAGGTTTGTCACATAAGGCTTTTATTATGTTGAGGTATGATCCATCCATTCCC